GTGTGTCCTCCCTGTACACACACACACACACACACACACACACACACACACACATATGCACACACACATGCATGCACGTACACACACATTTGTGCATTGAAGGCCAGAGGACAATCCAGGCATTATTCCTCATTCCACCTTGATCTCTGTTTGTCAATTTATTTGTTTTGGAGACATGTTTTCTCCCATCCCCGAAACCAGCTGAGAAGACCACACTGCTGGCTAGTGAGCTCCAGGGATCTCTTCACCTTTGCCTCCCCAGTGCTGGGATGACAGTCATGATATTCCACCACGCTCAGATTGTTTTTTACATGGGTTCTGGAGACTTAACTCAGGCTGTCACGCTTGTAGGTCTAGCACTGTACTGACTGAACCATCTCTCTATTACCTGTTAGCTGAGACTCACTTTTCTCCCTCCAAACCCTCCTCTGTCCCCCTTCCTCCAAGCCTTCCCTTTCTCCTCTCCTCTCAAATTGAAGGCAGAATTATTCTTGATTTTATATGTGTTTATGCATGTGTATGCGTGGGCTCGCATGCTGAATCTGTTCAATGTTGCTTGTATGTAAATGACTTTTATGGCAGGCAGATTGGTTGCTGGATAACCAATTAGGGAACTGATTTGATCCCTGTGAAAGACTAATTACTCTTTCTCAGCAGTGATCAGTTGACTGTAGTTCTTTGCCTAAGGGTGGGGCCCTTGAGATTTTTCCCCTTCCATGTTAGGGTGGCTATTGATTTAATCATTGTTCAGAACTTGTTTAGAAAGCCATATTGTTGAGGTGTTGTGGTCCCTGTTATTTCTAGGAGAAACAATCTCACAACAGACTTCCTGGCTTTCTGCTTTGTTTTTATAATCTTTCTGCTCCTTCTTACACTAAGATCCCTGAGCTATAGGTGCAGGAGTTATGTTATATATATATGCATATATATACATATATTACACACACACATCCATTGGGTAGAGACACTCCACAATGGGTTGATCTCTGCATTGTAACCTGTTGGTTCCCCAGTCTTTGCTGCAAAGAGAAGTTTTTTGATGAGGGCTTGTTGTGGGAACTCCTTTAGCCAATAGCCTTTAAGATACTGGCTCACTCTGGGCTTGGCCACATGATATATATATATATATATATATATATATATATATATATATATACACATATATACATATATATACACATGATATATACATATATATACATATACATATATACATACACACACACACACACACACACACACACACACATATATATATATACAGATGTAGAAACCTGTGTGGGCCCTTTGGCTGTTGGATTTGGTTCCTGTTCCCTGCTCATGCAGAGGACTGCTGATCTGTGAGTCTACCCTTAAATAAAGAAACCTTTATTGCACTTCATTCTGAGCTAGTGTGGGACTACTTTATTATAATTGACAACATTTGGTGCCAATGTGGATCCAGAGTCCACGCCTACTGGGACCTTCCCACAAGGTCCGAGGCCCAGAAGGTCTCCCATCCCTGCCTGCCTGACTTGATTTCTCCTAAGCGGTTTGAGCTAGTGTGGGACTACTTTATTAAAATAGACAACAAGGGGTGAGAGCTGTACTTATCTATGCACATAAAGTTAAGTTTTAGAATGCAATTAGAAATTATGCTGCGTAGTAAATAGACAATATTAGGTTCTTCTCTCAGATTCATGACATTATTGACTCAGAGGGGCTGACTAGGTAGCCAGTACCATGAATGATTTCCTCCTGTTGAGTGTGCCTTAAGTTCAAATAGACAGCCGCTGGTTACGGCCAAGCTATGAGTGTCTTCTAATGCACCTTTAAAGATGTCTTGTCATGCTGGACATTGTGGATCATAGGTGTCCCAACTGGGTAGCACTATTGGTTGTTCCCCTCTCTTGGCAGCTTGATAGCACTGTCTGGTTCTGTGAAAGCTAGACCTCAGGGAAGAGGCTTTTCCTGTCAGATTCAGCTTAAATCACCTGAGTTCTGTGTCTGAAGTGTGTGGTGTCTTCAGCTATGGAAATTACCTTCAAGTAATCAAGGGCAGTAGCAATAGCCTATTTGTTTTGTGAAGCACTCGAATTACCCTGACCAACAACTCAGAAAGAACTTTCTCATGCCTGTTCCTGGGGTTTTATGGCTATCGTGGGGAGCACTCTCAGCCCAAATGACATAACTTTATATATATAAATTCATATATATATTTATGTATATCCATACATTTTATTCATTATGTGAGTTTTAGGTAAATATAAAATAGTATGATTCCACAAGGAAAGGTTTTTCCAAACATCATTAATGTTATTTATCCCTTTTCTTCTCTCTCCTTTAATACCTCCCACCCTCTCTCCCATTAAAGTCACCCTCTTTATTTTTCCCATTCCCCACTTCAGAACCCAACAAAACTAGCTTTGACAAAATGGAAAATGTGTTGGCTGGAAAACCTAAGTCTAGACCTCCCCCCTCCCCCGCCCCCTTTTTTCAGGCTCCAGATGCATATTATACAGGCTGATCAACCTTCAGTTTATTGTGTGAGCCTGGCAGACCTTGGACTCTTCCCCCAGCTTCCTGAATGCCAGGATTGCAGGTGTGTGCCACCACACCTGGCTTTAGTATAAATCTCGTGTTTCTGGTGTAGCTGGATCTGAGACTGCAGTGTTGTCGGGTTGTTTCCGTTCCCCCATCCTCTCTCACTCTCCCTTTCATTGCCACACTCTTCTCTGCCTCTCTCTAAAGTCCTACTCCAAGGAAAATATCCCAAGCAGAGCTCTGATTGGTTTGCCTGGGTCACTTCTCTACCTATAGCTGAGTTCACCAAATTCTCCTCAGGCGTGGATTCTGACTGCACAGACTCAGGCAGAAAGAGTGCAGCTTTGGGTGCGGCTAGCACATTAGAGTTTGATGTGGGGGTTGCTTTTAAGAAAGGGACATTGAGACGGGCTGTGGTTGTGCAGGCCTTTAATCCCAGCACTCGGGGAAGCAGACAGAGCAGGAGGAGTTCGAGGTCAGCCTGGTCTACAGAGTGAGTTCCAGGACAGGCTCCAAAGCTACACAGAGAAACCCTGTCTCAACTGAGGCAACTCCAGGGGAGGGGATTTGGGATGGAACTTCCACTGGAATATTCCAGATTCTTTAGAAGAGGCTAAAGTGAAACTTCCCCCTGGTGGATCCCAAAGCATTCTCCCCTGTGTCCCAGGCAAAGATAACTCCAGAGTCTGCGAACGTCTGCCGAGGGTAAAATACCCCTGTACTAGAAGCTGTAAATACACATTTGTTATTTTACACTCAGAATGTTCTATCAGTTAAACAACGTTTCTACTCCCATTCCCTCCTCTTTTATTTTCCACACCACACAGCCAAAACAGTCCCCTCGAAGTACCTCACTGGTTAACAAAAATAACTTGATAAAATTTCTGCCAACTTCCTCCCACTGTTTCCTCAATAGAGACCAGATCCTTTAGTCTTGTATTTGTAATCAAACCCATGACCTATTATTATACTCGGCTGAGCGAGGGGCTGTGCTCCACTCTGAGTGAGCTTCCTGGCTCTGCTTACGGTCTCCACTGTCTTACTGTTAGGTATTTGGCCTGGTGTCATCTCGAGTTCTGTCCGTAAAACCGTTGAGAGCCTGAGGTTCCTCTGAGGTCCAGCTCTGGTCCCATGTTTGTCTCCCTTCAAGAAGCCACCCAGTACTGTCTTCCTTTCTCTTCACTCTGGCCATTCCTCAAATACTTAAGCAAAGAGTTAGCATAGGAGCCGTCAATTCTACTCAAATGTATCTACCCCAAGAGAAATGAAAACATACATCCATACATTATACTAGCAATATTGCTTCTCTTAGCCCAAAGGGGTAAGAACCCTAACTTTTACCACCTGATGCGTAATTAAACCAATATTATAGTCCATACAAAGGAATACTATTCTCCTAAAAATAAAATAATAAAGCATCTGATGATGTTAGCCCATGCCTGTAATCTCAGCAGTCAGGAAGCCAAGAAAGGAAGACAGAATTCTTGGCTAACCTGGACAACATAGTGAATTCTAGGACATCATAGGCTAAATAGAAACACCTGTCTCAAGTAGTCAAAAAGTAATGAAATGATAGCATACTACAAGAACGGTAAACCCTGAAAGTATTTTTGCTGCGTGAAAGGAGAGAGTCACAAAAGACCTCATATCATTCCATTGATAGAAAATGGCCTCAGCAAATTCCTAGATGAAAATAGATTAGTGTTCGTCAAAGGGATAGGGGCAGGAGGACGATGGAGTCAAAGGGCTGATGCAGAAGACACAGGATTTCTGCCGTGACAAAATGTTCCCAAACTGTGAATATTCTGCAAATCGCTGTGGTGATTTGAGCGAGAATGACCCCCAAAGGTCAGATATCTGAATGCCTGGCACCCAGTCCGTGGAATGATTGGCATGCCGCGCTAGTCTGCACCACGACCGCCCGGTTTCTATGGCAAACTAATATGGCTACTGAGCTTAAAGGTGTGTGTCTGTAAGGTTGACCAGGGTGGCTGTTTGATTCTCTGATCTTCAGGCAAGCTTTATTTATTAAACTACAAATGAAATGTCACTGCACAAGCAACCAGCCATGTGTGTTTTAGATGAATAAATCACGTCAGTAAAAGTGTGTATCTGTTTTGATTGTTGAGATATGGTCTCACTATGTCGCCCTGGTTGTCCTCAAACTCAAGATCCTCTGGGTGCAGCCTCCACTGCTGAGAATACAGATGGATCCTACCAAGCTCAGCAGTTATTGTTTTTGGAGAATGAAAGACCTAACCAACTGTGATGTTGACTCGCAATTGTTTACTTGATGAGGTCCACAGTCACTCAGGAGATGGGCCTCTGCATCTGCCTGTGTGGGATTTTTTTCTTTTTTCCAATGTTTAAAAAAATTTAAATTCATTTTAAAATATAATTTCTTTGGAAATTTCACATCATGCACCCCAATTTCACTTACCTCCCAGTTCCCCATATTCTCCCTTTACCCTGCAGCATCCTTTAAAAGAAAATTTTAATAAGATCAAACCAAAATAAAACATAGCAAGCATACAAACACAAGAATAAGACAAAACACAACACCCCCCAAAAACCCTCTCTGGTTTTCCACCTCTCCCACCTATATCCAACATGCATTTGGAGCAGTGTACCACATAGTATACCTTTTTGCCCAGTTGGCTTTACTAGCAAATGTTCGTTGCAATGACTCATTGGTCTCGTTCACGGCCTCTGGTTTCCCGGCACATCATCATCCCTGGATCCTGACTGAAATTCCCCTGGGATATCACAAGGCTTCCCCAAATCATGGAGATCCTGCAGGTATCATTCCACAGGACCAGTTCCTTCACAAGCTCCAGGGGTCCTTGCTCGGGTGGATGTTAGGGAGAGCCAACTCCACGTGGTCTGTAGACTTGCTTGTTAGCTGAGCCGGTCATTCCGAGCCACTGGGGCCACTAGCCTCAGGCGAGGGGGCAGAGCCTGTGCCGTCAGGGTAAGTTCTTGCTCGCCTGTGGCGAGGGGTGGGACCATCTCTCCTGTGAAGGATGGGGCCAGCTCTCTTGCTGCAGAGTGCAACGAGAGGCGGAGCCATCTTTCTAAGGGTCAGCAAGGGGCAGGGCTGACTCAGCATGGCCCTCTGGTTGTATCACATGGTTCCTACGGCCACCTGAGGTGGCACAGGCCACAGACATCAACACAGACCCCAGCTGCTGCTGGACCATTGTGACCCAGACATGGCCCCCAGCAGCGGCCCAGGCCCCGACAGCATCCTGGCTCTTGATGGAAGCCCTGGCTGCTCAGATCAGGCTGGCTCTGGCAGCGCCTGGACACCTACAAGGTCACATATTGCAGCTTCCACCCTGGGCTTCCATGGGACTTTTGGTGGCAACACGGGCCTCGGACTTCAACCCACAGAACCCGGATGCAGTAAGATCCTAGACCCAGGCCCAGGCATGGCCCTCGGCAGCAGCTCAGGTCTGGATGACACCATGGCCCCAGGTGGTCGCTCAAGAGGTTAAGATCAAGCTTCTGGTTGTCTCATGAAGATTTCAACTTCCATGCCCCAGGAGAGGGTTACGAGAATCACAAAATCCCATTATATTTATAGGAAGAAAGAACAGGAAAGGTGAAATTAAGTCTATGCATGGGCTGAAGAAATGAAAATTGTTCAGCATAATTCACTGGCAACTCGTATCTGAAAGAGCAAAGGAAGCAGACTGCCCCGAACTTTGCTTTGTCCCACAATTTAAGCACACGCGCAGAAAGGGATACATTCAAAGGCTCCCTATGTGGAGAAGCCAGGATTTCCTTCTCTCCATCCCATAATTCTTTCTAATAAAAATTCCTGCGCTGACAACCAGACACGGCTAAGTTAAAACCTGAAAATTAGTATCGGCAAGTTAATAGAATCCTATGGATCCGTGAGTCACCCGGTGCTGGCATCAGATAAGAACACAGAAGCGGAGAGAGACTGCCAAGCACGATTTCGGCCGGGGGAATAAGAATGAACGCAGGGCAATCAAAGCACTAAGACAGACGACAAATGTGGCCTAGTGCCTGGACTTAATGTGCTAGCGTTCGGGTCACTTGCCTGTTTTGATTCAAGACATTTGACAGAAACTGGTAAATGGTGGAAGGTTTGTTTTTTTTTCCTTCTTAATTGTGGTTCTGTTGTTGTGATATCATACCATGGCAAAACCGAGTTAAGGGAGGAATGGCTTATTTTGGCCCCCAACTCCAGGTGCCATGCACCATGGTGGGGAAAGCAAGACAGCAGAAGTGTAAAGCAAATTCTATATCTTCAGGCTACAAGAAGAGGGCAATGACTGCTTCTGCTCAGTCAATACATTCCAGGATCCTACAGCACAGAATGGTAACTGAAGATCTCCTACCTCAATGAATATAATCAAGACAATCCGGAAGGCCCCAGGTTGGAGGGAAGACACCCACGTTCCCCACTCAGGCGGGTGTTAGCCACCCACATGCCAGCCTGGGTCCTCATGGCCCGAGTTGTAGGGAAGACATTCACAAGCCTGCGGTGCAGGGCAGACGGCTCCCTTTATGATAAGCGAATATATGGTGGAGAATAGGAGAGAAAGAGAAGTAGTAAGGAGTAGGCTGATAGCCGGGTGGTGTTGGCGCACGCCTTTAATCCCAGCACTCGGGAGGCAGAGGCAGGCGGATCTCTGGGAGTTTGAGGCCAGCCTGGTCTACAAGAGCTAGTTCCAGGTCAGGCACCAAAGCTACAGAGAAACCCTGTCTGGAAAGACAAAAAACAAAACAAAACAAAAAAAACCCAAACAAACAAACAAACAAACAAAAAAAGGAGTAGGCTGATATGGGAGGCCTGGTAGCCCACCCTGGGCCATGGTGTTGTCCAGACTGGGCTGCTACCAAGGACCATTTGGGGTGTCCGTGAGTTGGGCAACTTCCGTTGGTTTTCCAGAATTTCTCTACATGGCTCCTTTTTGCTCTGGGCACCAGGATGATGACTTCAAGAATATCAAGTCTTGTATCACCCGTTGTTCCAAAGACAGGGTTTCCACAGATCGGAGGGAGTAAAGTTGAGAATCAGCTTCTTTCTTTGTCTCTCTGACCTCTGACTGTTACCTCCACATGTCCAGCTCCTGCCTGGTGGCATCACCCATTGAGCCTTCCCTGTCTCTATGTTCTAGTGACCACTCTTTCCCTTTACCTACTTGGTCTGAAGACTCATATTGCTTGCTCTACAAGTCCCAGGAGCTACAAAAGCCTTTTGTGGCTTTTTTCCACTTTGTCTAGATATTTGTAAATAAACCCTTAATTCAACTCTGACTTTGCCTTTTTTGAGTGTGCCTTTTGTTCTGATCAGTGCAGTCCCTTTGAGACTCCCCTCCTTCTTGGCATGGTTACCTTTCAGTTTACACCCATGAAGGATCTAGTGGCTGGACAAACTGTCCCCTTTTCCACAGGAAGGGAAGTGAATGTTCGTATTCTCTCCATCTGGTTCAGTCATCCCAGGGATATGGGTTCGATTGTACCATTTTAGCTAATTACAGGACTCTAAGGATGTACAGTAATTATTTTCTCAGAGACATCATGAACTGACCTAAAGCCTTGGGCCAATCTTTGTTTTGTTTTTTCTTTTTTCTTCGGGTTAAAAAAAAACCTTCTTATTAGCAGGCCTTGGCCCACACCTGCAGGGACCGCCAGTCTTTATTATGCCTGGAGTTACTGAAGGCAGGCTCTTTTATACTTTGCCTGGAAGCCTGGAAGTGCAAACAAAAGGCCTTAGTAACTTTAGCAGTTCCCTGGAGAATGTTACTAACTGTTATTAAATTCCCTTGATTTAGATTTGAGGCATGCCCATCCGTCCATCTTTATTCACAAGGAAATTGGGATTAGAACTTTTGCTTCTTTGAAACCGGCTTTTTACCTCACTCTCCACCCCAGTTCTGAATACAGGAGAAATTAGGATTCCTGGAAATGGGTTTTAGGGAGAAAAAATACCTATTGACTTTGTGAAATATCCCAAAATTTTCTTGAAAGAAATGACAGCTGTTGGCCAGGTCAGAAATTAATTTTCCAGGTGGGAAAAACAATGTGGGAATGGTTATAGGTAGGAGAAAACATGAGCATTTGGTCCACTCCCAGGCTTGTATTCTGGGATGGCAGCCTTGAGAATTCAGGTGTGTGCCATTAAGGCCACGTGGGTGTGGGAAGTTGGCATCTGTAGGCAGGGTGATCAGCGTCCTTGCTGGCTAGGGCTGTTCCAACTTACCATTAACAGTCCCAGGTCCCAGAAAACTCAGATGCTGCAGTCAAATGCAAACAGGAATTCCTGGGAAGAGTGGACACCTGCAAAGGGTCATTGATTGATTAGAACTGCATTGGTGGGGAGGGTGGGGATGTTGCAGGTCTAGAGGTTAATTCCCTGCTTTTAGCCTCCTGGGTAACGACTCCTTGACTACTTCTGTGCTGGAGCTAATATCCTGTAGCTAATACCTAAAACCCTTCGAGTCTATGAATTTTAACAGCCCTCTAGCTTCTACCAACTCACGAGACAAGCATGTTGCCGTGTGGCATCTGAGGTCTAGAGGGGAGATTCCTCCATCTTGCTATAACCGGCCCTGCGGTGTTTCCACCATGTGCTTGAAAATTGCCTTGATTTACAAATTTCTTTGTTCCATTACCACAAAAATAAAAACAAAACAAAAAAAAAACAAAGACAAAACAACAACAACAAAAACAGTCCATGAAACTGCTTCCGAGTCGGAACATGGAACCTGAGGTAATGTAGCTCTGTGTTTCCTGGGTCATGGTCACTCAAGTTTTGTTCCCGAATAAACTATCACATTCTTGTTGAGAAGAACTCTCTTTCTTTTATATGAGCACATGCCAGGGCAGCTACTTACCCTCTGCTACGCGAGCAGCTGTTAAATAGTTTAGATATCTTTCCTGCATGAATATAGTAAGGTCCTGGTTGCAGCCATGGCTCTGAGGGAAAAGGGGTTACCATGAAACATCAAGGATCTGAATTCAGATACCTAGAGCCCCTGTCTGAAATCCCAGCATCCCTATGTCAAGATGTAGGGGAGTGGCAAAGACAAGGCTATCTGCTGTTCACAGGCTAGCAGGTCTTAGACTGCAACAAACCACAAGCCCTGTCACAAGTGAGGTAAAGGTGGAGACCCACACCTGAGGTTGCCCTGTGACCTCCACGCTTGTGCTGTGGCATATGGGTGTTTGCATTCAGAGGCACTTATCTGATACACATATGCACATCACACACACATGCATGCACGCACAAGGAATAAATACATAAACCAGGGCACTGACATGTAATGTGTCGTGCACACCTCTAATGCCTGCTCTGAATCTTTGCTTTAGAAGCTGGAATCTTCAACAGTTCTCTTACTCTTTTGGCTCCTGGGTAGGAGTTCTAATTTGTTCCTTCATTCTCATGCATTGTTTAAGATAACCTCCCCTCCCCTCGGCAGCCTAAGGTACTTTTCTATACATGTAGTCTCCGAGGCGTCTTGAACTCCCCTTCCCTGCTAGCGGATGAATTCCCCTCAAGGATCTTTGAAGAATCCTCTTCAGACTTTTCTGCTTACAGGAAATTCCATTTTAGTCCCAGAAGGTGACTGGCTGCATGAAAAGAACTGGAGTCCTGGAAAACACTTTGAGAAACCACAGCGCCGTTTTTAGTTCTTTTCAGTCCCCGAATTACGTACTCACTGTAGACGAATCTGCAAGAATAGCAGATCCTTCAGCTGATGCCCGTGGCAGGCAGGCAGAAGTGTTCTTCCTATCTGCTGCCTTCAGAGTCAAACAGCTGCGCTCCGCCTCTGTTCCTCAGACACCTGCCAGCGCTCCTCGCCTGCTGGAGCGCTTCCCTGCAGCATAGCCGCGCCCAGCGGTTGAGAATGTCCCTAGCCAGACCAAGTAGGGTGATGCACACCACAGAAAATTTTGTCACAACGCCTTCCCACACACGTGAAAGGGATAGGCCTTTGTAAATGTTTTACAAAGGATAATTTCCTTATTGAATTTGAGGCCCATGATATTTCGGCTCAGTAGTTAAGAAATGTTGATGGTGTCTAAGTCATGGTGATTCCAGTTCTGACTTTTTCTACTTTGGAATGGTGCATAAGACATACACGTTTTGTATAAACAGCTCTGATTTTCAATGTTGATCCTGTCTTGGGCTAACAGTACCCTATCAGAGTCTCTTCCTGTCAGTTACACAGTGAAGCTGCCAAGCTGTGGGACCCTGCTGGCTAGATGCACAGAAGACATGGTCAAGTTACAATAGTTTCACATTGTAAAGGGAATTTTGTGGTGTAATCCCATTCCAGGCACTGCATTCCGCGTTTGAAATAGTTTCCTTTGCTATAGGCCAAAGCAAACGTCTATAGCTCTCACCACCACCACCACCACCACTATCAACATTGCTGGTTTTGTTTTGGTCAAATCAGCTTTGGAAATAGGAAGATGTGCAACTACTCAACCTGAGTTTGTGTCCAGAGGAATGAGTTTCATAGTCCACCCTCGTCCCCACAGTCACACTTTCTCGTGTTACAGCCTTTGTTGAATCCTTATCAATGGAAATAACTACGGAAAGTTAGCTCTGCTGTGGCCTTAGGTGTCTGTTAGGCCCTCTCACGTGCGAGACACTAGAGACGGCCTGCTTCCTCTGCTGCCTGTTGGTGACAGCTTCAGAGCACCTTGGGAAGAATATTTGGCAGAAGGTACAAGCCAATTCATATTACCCATACTTTAAATTATATTCTTATCCTTTCAATCCTTTGAGGAAGGAACACACAACCTTTAGAATCATGAAAAATATATGTCTTTCTTCCATAAAGCTACATGTCTTTAGAATTTCAAGGGGGATGGGATGATGCTGTGTTTGTAATTTCTCCAGGCTATTTTCCTTCTCTTCATTCCCACTGTGGTTGCTTCCCCTCTGCCCTTTCCTGTCCCTCCTGAAAGGCAGGGTTGGTTTATATCAATTCCACCATCTTGTCATTTAGCGAGTTTCAGGTGTCTAAGAAATGCTCAAGCATTGATCTGTAAATGACTGCAAGAAGGGGCAGTTCCAGGCAGAGAAGGGATCTGTCTACTCAAGGTTCTAAGTCAGAGAGGGATAGTTTCTGTGTGTCCTTCAGCAATCCCTGTGCCCAGTGATAAGACCTGAAATCAGCCTTGGCAAGGCTGAATGGAAAGCCTGAGTCAGATCAACAAGTCCAGACAAACCGGCCGTGTCGCCATGACTTATTGCCTCCTTATCAAGAAGGCATCTGGCAAATCAAGCATGGGTGGAGCGGAGGAAAACGAGAAGCAAATGCCCTGTCCAATCTGGGAGAGAGACAGAAAGAATTTTGAAGAAAAGCAGTGTTGGCATTTCTCTGAGGGAACTTTACTAATGTGCTTGTGAGAAGCCACTACTGTAGAAAACTATATATGAACAAAGAAAATTGGGAAATATTAAATGTACAGATTTGTTTATGTTCTATATGCTCTAAGCTATATTCCTAGTCCCAGAATTCTTAGCAAAGATTGTCCTGGGTGTGGAATCATGTGGCACTTTGCTTTACTATTGTCTGTTTCTAGTCACTTCGCTCACCCTTTAAAACAGGATAGAGGCTCATATCTCACGTTATAGCACAGGCTGGCTTTGAACGTTTATGCAGCCCATGCTGGTCCTCACTCCTTCAGGATTCTGCTGGCATCCATCTCCCACATTCTAGAATTATAGGTGTAAGCCTCCATCCATGTCAGGCTTAAATTAGTAAAAATCCCATACAAACTACAGACTTACCTATTTTTCTTTTTTGTTTGCAAACTTCTAAAACAATTAAAATCATTTACATATTTTATTTAAGCCAACACTAGAGCACCTACTATAGATATAAACTCAATAATTTGTGTGGAGATGCTTGCAAAATTTTTTTTCTTGTCTAAAAGAAGTAAAATTACTATGCTATAAAAATGTAAAGAAGGCATGAGATGGTTTTGTAATGGCTTCCAGTGTCAGGTAACACTGTGCAAAGGTTGGGGTCATGAGACACAGTCCATAAGATGCAAACATAGGTGATCCCTCCTCTTGGACTAGAATATTATATTGCAACTAAAAATGATGAGTATGAACTTTAATCAATACAGAAAGACATAAAAATGTTAGTAAGTGGTGGGACAATTAAAAAACGGTTTGTCATGACATGGTGGGGAAAACAACCTGAACACCAGGGAACATGAGAGCACATGGTTCTTTGGGATGGAAAAATAATTTTGTGTGTATCAGCACATTCCCTTGGATGAGGAAAGGCGATGTTCATGTATAAAGCTTCCAGTGGCTGGCAAGACAGTTTCAGGGGGTAGGGAGCCGTAGAAAGCTCCATGACGAAGGAAGAAATCTGGTTTTACTTGTATAGCAGACATTTAAGAAAGCTTACAAAACTGCATTCCATTTTGCATCGGCTCCTCTACTTGCTAACATTTTTATATCTTTTGGCATCCAAGCCTGCACACATGTAGTGTGGAGGCCACTTGTTCATTCCCGGCTGCCCAGACCATGAAATAACCACTCAGAAACTATATTTTTAAATCACTACTTGGCCAATCACTTAAGCGTATTGCTAGCTAGCTCTTATATCTTTGGTTAACCCATTTCTATTTTTCTATTATTTTATATTTTACCACAAGGGTCATGGCCTATTGGGAAGTTTCTAGTTGGCTGCTTGCATCTTTTTCCTCTGGTGGGGCTACATGGCTTCTCATTGACTCCACCTTCTTTCTCCCAGCATTCAGTTTAGTTTTCCTACTTAGTTCTGTTCTGCTAAGCCATTGACCAAAATCAGCTTCTTTATTCATTAACCAATAAAAGCAACACATAGACAGAAGGACTTCCCACACCACACACATATCCTTCTTCATTGCAACATAGTCTTCTATTATATGAAAGTTTCATAATTTGTTTAAAAACTTTTGGTGAATATTTAAACTAGTTCAAATATTTAGATTTTATAAGCACTATAACTCAAACATCATGTGTGTATATATGTTTGCGTGTGTGTGTGCATCACTTGGGACTAAATCTAGGACTTGGTGCACACTAGGCAAGCATTCTACCATTGAGCTACAGCCTCAGCTGAGATGAATCATTTTAAGCATTTTTCTTATTTTCATATTTCATTTGGGCCACTTTTTGGAAATACCCTTTCTAGCTCCTTTCTAAGACCTTAGTCTTCCTCTTATGTGTTGGTAAATTTCCTCCTCTACTCCAAGATTTTACCAATGTTCACTCTTATTAATATTAATGTTCAGTGTTATCATTTTGTCCATGTATGTTTAGCCCAATGCTCTGTGTTAGTCGGTGTTCTCTTAGCAAAATGACTGCCCAAGACAATCAACTTCTGCGAAGAGGAGGGTCCGTTTGGCTCACAGTCTTGGAAGTTACCAGCTGTGATCGAGTTCACTGCCTTTGCCTCCTGGTGAGACAGTAGCGCATTATAGTGGGAGCACCCTGTGGAGGAGACCCTCATGCCTCATGGTCAGGGAGCCAAAGAAGGGAACAGCTAGATTTCCACAATCCTCTTTGAGGGTTTACTGCCAGCAACCTGAAGAGGACTTATTTAGCCCTGCCTTCTCAAGAGTCTGACATCTCCTAACTGCCACTCTGTGGAACAAATGTTTGGTGCACAGACCTGTGGGTACATTCCAGATCCAAATTCTAGCACCTGTCTTAACTTTATTTTAGGCTACAACATGGGCTAGGGAATTAGACTCAATTTTTAGTCTCTTTCTGACTCCCTTACATGTACTGGGCACAACGTTTAGGTATGGCACATATCCCATTCAGTTGCCCTGGGCACAGGACCACACTGCTTTAATCTTTGTAGCTTCCCAGTGGATTTAATACACAGCAGGGATGTCTCCCTTAGTCTACACAATGTCCGGTGGTTTTCTATATTTCCTGAAGGGATTATCTGTACCATTTAGGTTTTTGTAAGTGTGTTTGTATTAGCAACCTTCTTGTAGCAAGCTTTCTTGGACTGCCAGCCCCCCAAATCAGACACAGAGAATTATTTTAATTATTCATGCTAGGCCTTGGCTTAGGCTTTCTTCTAGCTAGCTCTTTTTTTAAAAAAAAAAATTTAAATTAACCCATTTATGTTAATCTGTGTGCTGCTCTGAGTCTCACTTACCTCATCTACGCTCTGTCCATTCTGCTTTTTTGCTTCCTCATTGTCTGTCTGTCTGGCCTCGGTCAGCCTGGCCCCTGGTGGGCTAGCCCTGCTTGTCCCTCCTTTGCCTAGTTATTGGACATTCAGTTTTTTGTTAGACCAACCAGGTGCCTTAGGCAAACAGGTCAAACAGCAACCCATCTTTACATAGTTAAACACTTACTCTGCAGCACAAACAAATGCAACACGTCTTTACCTAGTTAAACAAGTATTCTATTCCACAACACTTTCTGACATGGAGGGTGTGGCCAGGCAGGTCCACTCTTACAGAAGTGGTACCAGAAGACAGATATGTGTATGAGCAGAAGTAGGTGATGGAGAGGACTGGTGGGTTAGGAAATTAAAACATACATTACATTGACAATGAAACAGAATGACTCCAAATGATTGTGGCATTGAAGACATAATATTATACATGCTATGCATTTTTAAGAAATTAAACATAGTGTGTGTGTTTGTGTGTGCATGTGTGCGTGCGCACGTGCTGATGCACACCACAGAATGTATGTGGGTATAAGGGACAACTTGTGACAGTTGGTTTTCTCCTTCCACCATGTGAGTCTTTGGAATGACTTCAGGTCATCAGGTGTGGTGGATTGACTAAAAATGCCCCCCCCCATAAATCTCTAGGGTGTCTTACTATTAGGATATATGGCCTTGTTGGAGTAGG